GATAATGACATACATAATTAGGAAGTAGAATAAAGTATTCCCTGTACTTTGGAGAAGAATATTCTTAATTCCAAGCCATAACTATAAATTACAATTTATTTCTGATTCTTAAAGTAAGGGAACAGAGAGCAGCTCAATTCAAATAGCAAGACAGAATTTTCTGATTTCTGTTTCTTTCCTTACGTTTCACTATGTTTTTGCCTTGTTGGAACTCTTAAGTAAGGCCAGTGGTTGGCATTTTCAATCCACTACAACACAGGTTTTCTCATTTAAGAATCATCTGTTACCCAAACAGCCTAAAAAGGAAAATGGAAGACTAAAAGAAAGGTCCACAACAGACAATGCAGTATTCAAGCCTCCAACATTTGATATTCAACTCTTCTTCAAGCTAATACAAGTAGCTTCTTGATAAATATTTTGTCTCAAAATATTCTCATCATCTCTATCTGACTCAAGTAATAGAAGAAAATGCAGTTTAATAGACTTCCTTGTAACAAAATGTGGAGAACAAATCAAATATAGGTAATTTACCTTATGCAAACTTGCAGCATTGGATTTTGAAATGTTGGTCAACTTAAGCTATCATGAGTAAAGTTCTTGAGCAATATAACAGTTATTTTCCTTTTTAAAAGCCCCAAAGTACCAAATAACTATTATGCATACAGTATTTGGTTATTACAAATGTTCTTATACATATTGCTTTCTTTTTTCTTTAAAAAAAAAAAAAAAAAAAAAAAAGACAGAGTCTTGCTCTGTTGCCCAGGCTGGAGTGCAGTGGTATGCTCCCAGCTTACTGTAGCCTCGACTTTCCAGGTTTAAGTGATCCTCCCACCTCAGCCTCCCAAGTAGCTGAAACTACAGGCACACACCACTACCCTTGGTTAATTTTTGTATTTTTTTTTTGAGAGATAGGGTTTTGCCATGTAGCTCAGGCATGCTTCTATTCTTATAATTCCATTATGTATGGACTTTCAATTAACCATTCTCACCCAGTAAGTTTCCATGATTTACTCAAGTTTGATAGCTGGCCTTCAAGTTCCAAATTGAATGTCTTTGTTAAATACATTGCAGCTAAATCTAAAAGTGCTTTTACAAACAACACAGGTGACAAATTCAAATGCTTACAGGGCCAGATGATCAACATAAACGTGCAAATCAGGTCAGGTGAGGAATGATGTGAACTGCCAGCAAAGACCACTACCTAAATGTGAAGGACCTTCTTCACAGTCATTTGTTGCCATGTGGGATTAGGAAACTAAAATTACCAATCATTTTGCTTTAAAGAGAATATAGAAATACTAATTTTTAAAGTATCTTCTGATTTTTTAAATGATGGCAATAATTAATATCTGTGCATAATACATTTGCAGGTGGCACAGAGAAAGTAGATTATCAACTTGTTTCCTCTGTTGTATGTATTCCTATCTGATAATCAAATGAGAAAAGATAACCAATTTTACAGATAAAAACACTAAAGGTCAAGAATTTGTCTGTTTAAGGTCACACAGGCTAGCAAGTGGCAGTGATGTGACTCAAAACTCAGCCATTATTCTTTATACTTCATTTCACTGCCTTGATTATTTTTTGATGTATCCAGAAATTAGAGAGAAATCAAATTATGCCATTATATAATTGCATGCTTCTATTCTATTATGATGCATTATGCTGATTGAACCAATGATATAGCATACTCTGCTGTGCAGATATTTCACAGCCACTGTAACTTGGCTGTCACAACCTGGGGGTTGATTTAAGCATTTGTTCATGGTATTAGAACTCCCAGGGTGGTGACCAATAGAATAACGGAGAAAACTGGAGGATAAAAGTGGATAATTTCCAGTTAAAATTACCATATTGCAATTTTGTTAGTTATCAGACTTAGTACACAGCAGCTTATCTGACAAGAAATTGTCCTTTTGGGCATGATTCAACCTATAGATGTCTGATTTCCTCATATGTGGTGTCCAGATGGTCCTTTCTGCTCTATGTTGAGACCAGGAGGCATAAAGGCCATTTCTAAAACAGAGACAATGAAAGTAAGTGCAGGGTGGAAATGCACAAGACTGGTCAACATAATGAACTCAATCAGATTATATTTTTAAAGCTAATTCCCTGTTACTGATGTGGGCAATTGATGAGGGAGAGAAAAGGGTAGTATCTTTTATTAGAGATTTTGTTGCTAGAGGTGCTATTACATGTGACTAGCAGCTGATTAGATAGATTCTGTGGTCATGTAGGCTCTAAAATAAAATCTGGAAAAGCAAAGAGAGGGCTGACAAAATGCACAACAGAAGCCTAATGTTCTACCTGACAAATATTGTTTCTTCTTTTCACTGCAGAATTAATTTTGTGCCAAACTTCTATATCTCCTACATGCTAAGGACAGGAAGGATCAGTGTGTTGAGGAGGAAAAAGGTGTAAAGTAGTTGGCTAATAAAACAGTCAATGGTAAATAAACCAGGTAGGGTGGAACACATAAACTGCACAGTAAATACTTAAACAAAATCCTCTAAAATGGCAAATTTATCATAATATCTTATGAGCAGCTCCAATATGCAATATTGGTTATTTGCATAGGATATTACACAGCCATCTATTACAATATTCAACGAAAAGAAAGTACCTCAAAACACATTTTGTTCGTTTGGAAGTACAATAACTTTGTCAGTTAAAATTTGGAAAGCTTCCCAGTTTTCAACCATAAAATGATAATGCTTGACATATCATTTAAAAGTGGAATCTTCTAGAAGTTAATTCAGTTGACAGGGTCACATTTAGACTTTATTTTTTTCTGATGCTTTTGCATTGAAAATAATTCCCAAATCCTATTCTTCAAAGCACTGGAAGTTACTATAGCAATTTATGGCTCTGTTCACATTCAAGGCACCTCTGAGATAGAGAGCTACTTAAAAAAAATACCCTCTGCAATACAGATCATGGAATTCATGATGTTTTCAGAAAGGGAAACAAACCAGAGACACTTATTTGTTGAAGAGATTTGCTTGATTTTAGCAATATCATTGTTTTGTGATGATTCAATTCAGTAGGATAGTGTTGGGTTTAAGAGTGTTGGACACTGGAGGTAGCATGTGTGTGAGTTTAAAGTCTCATTTGCCTTGTGGCCTTGTGCAATTTACTAAACCTCTTTGAACCCCACTTCCCCACCTGTAGATAATAGTATCTACCCCAACCTCATTTGTAAAGTACTCAGCATAGCATCTTGTCCATCGTATGCTGTGTAATAATTAGCCATTATTATATTTGTCTTTAAAAAAATAATTTCACACTACAAGAGAAAATATATTTCAAAAAAATACTCTACCATATTATGTCAGGAAAGAATTGAACTTGAATTATTATGGGAACATATTTAAGCTGTGTTGTTCTGTTGGTGACAAAGGGAGAATGACAGGAGATTCAATGTAAAATATCTAAATTACCTGGGCTAAAAAATGAATTTGCCTTTAATATCTTTTCTATATTTAAAGTACAATATATTTTGGTTTTATTTATACTTTCATAAGTTTTCAGATATTATAAATGATTCTATATTAATTAAACTCAAATATGTTAAAAACATTTTTTGCATTTTAGACACTTTGACAAGTGTAAAGTTTCACTCACAAAAGTTAGTCAATCCCAGTCTATACTTTAACTCAACTATTATTCAGAAAGTAGTCATTTACTTCTTCATAATGAAGCACGCAATTTGCCTTTATTTTTAATTTACTAAATTTATTCTCTTTATTCCGTCTTTCATTGGTACTGATCCATTCAGACATTTTGATATTTTCAAATATTGTTCTTATATTTTTAAATATATTTCTTTATAAATTTCAGAATATAATAATATAACCAGCAGTCATTTTTTCCATGCATATTTTTATAACTCATTTTTTTCAACAAAACAGATTAAAAGAATGCTTAGGCTGAAACCGTCAAATATTATATATTTTGTGTTCTGGGTCAGAAACATTCAGAACTCAAATTTCTCCTCCATGTGTTTAAATAAAACTGAAGTTTTAGGAGAAGAAAGAAGTTTGATTGACAAATGTGAACGTAACACAAGTTTCAATACTATAATTGTGATTGTTCCTAGTGAAGCAGGGAATTTTATCATCTTGAATTATCTCCCACAACTCATTTTTTTACAAACAATATGCCAAAGTCACTAGGCAGTACAAAGCATTTCTTAAAGCTTGGTGGTGCTAAAATATGTAAATGTGTTGGTGAGGAGATGAACTAGGATTCCAGTATTATGGTCAAAATAGGAATGCTTGTTGAACTAGAGGACCGTGGGTCACTGCTGTTTATTAAAAAGCAAGAGACGTTCCCTTTACCTAGTCCCAGATTCTGAGGAAAAATACTACCTGGTAAGAGTTCTAAAAAGATGCAGTGGCCTCTGTCCTATAATTCAGACATCTGTAAGATTTGCTAGCCTGAAGATGACATTGTTTAATGGTCGAGAGCTGGTATCTCAAGCCATGGAAAACTATATTTGAATTCTGGCTCCACATTTTGTTGTGTGACTTTGAAAAGCCTCAGTTTTCATATCTATAAAATTATCATAATATCCAGTTCCTCAAAGATTGTTATGAATGAAAAGATTATAAAGCACATATAAAGTGCTTAAGAGAGTGTGCAGTACATAAGCTTAATAAATGGAAATTAGAAGTTTTCTATTACGACTTATTTCTGGTGTTGAAAATCTAATGGCCTGATATTTAGGGCTTCCTCCTTTTGACAATCTCTGCCTCTGAAATTTGGCTCTCTATTTATTTACACTCTGCCTTTATTCACCAAAAACTGGAGATTCCCAAGGGTTAAGGCAGCCTCCTCCATCTGTGCAGACAGTCAGAGATCACTGCTCTGGCCCATAAAGAATCAGCTTGCTGAGTTCTATACCTTCTTTAGTCCAGGCCATCACAAGATTTCCCGACTATTAAAGCTGGATTTATCCACAGTACCTAACTCCTCTTTGCTCAGGAGTAGATTCCTACCTGGCCCTGGATGAGGCCGACTGCATGACTGACATGGGCTTCGAGGGCGACATCCGCACCATCTTTTCATACTTCAAGGGCCAGCGGCAGACCCTGCTCTTCAGTGCCACCATGCCGAAGAAGATTCAGAACTTTGCTAAGAGTGCCCTTGTAAAGCCTGTTACCATCAACGTGGGGCGCGCTGGGGCTGCCAGCCTGGATGTCATCCAGGAGGTGGAATATGTGAAGGAGGAGGCCAAGATGGTGTACCTGCTTGAGTGCCTGCAGAAGACACCCCCACCTGTGCTCATCTTTGCGGAGAAGAAGGCAGATGTGGACGCCATCCACGAGTACCTGCTGCTCAAGGGGGTTGAGGCCGTAGCCATCCATGGGGGCAAAGACCAAGAGGAATGGACTAAGGCCATCGAGGCATTCCGGGAGGGCAAGAAGGATGTCCTAGTAGCCACAGATGTTGCCTCCAAGGGCCTGGACTTCCCTGCCATCCAGCACGTCATCAATTATGATATGCCAGAGGAGATTGAGAACTATGTACACCGGATTGGCCGCACCGGGCGCTCAGGAAACACAGGCATCACTACCACCTTCATCAACAAAGCCTGTGATGAGTCAGTGCTGATGGACCTCAAAGCCCTGCTGCTGGAAGCCAAGCAGAAGGTGCCACCCGTGCTGCAGGTGCTGCACTGTGGGGATGAGTCTATGCTGGAAATCGGAGGAGAGCGCGGCTGTGCCTTCTGCGGGGGCCTGGGCCATCGGATCACCGACTGCCCCAAACTTGAGGCTATGCAGACCAAGCAGGTCAGCAACATCGGCCGCAAGGACTACCTGGCCCACAGCTCCATGGACTTCTGAGCCAACAGTCTTCCTTCCTCTCCAGGAGGCCTCAGTCCCCAGGACTGCAGCCACTCTATGCACACACAGCAGCCCCCTGGACAGAACCAGCATCCTCAGCCCAGCTGGCCTGGGCTGGGCCAGGCTAGGCCTGGCTGCCTGTTCCCTGTGCCCCTCAGAATTACTATTTTTGTGCCCTTTCACCCCAGCTGCCATTAAAGCACAAACCTCGATCCCCCCCCGCCCAAAAAAAAAAAAAAAAAAAAAAAAAAAAACTAATCATAACTCCTCTTTGCTCAGGAGTAGATTCCTTGCATTCAGCCTGGTTCTTCTTTCACTATAGCTTCTTGACTCTGATCTTCTAAATAACTTTCCCTTTTCCCACATTTACTGATATCACTCCTTAACACTACCAACTTTGTCAAATTCTCGAAGAAATTTTCCTAATGACTTTGGTGCACAAGTTTCCAAATTACCCACGGAACAAACAAACATATCTTTCTGGTAGAGGCCAAACTCTGATGGTCTAGGGACCACACTGGTCCCAAAGATATATTAGAGCAGCGAGTAAACATTTTTTGAGCACCAATGCTTTTATATCAGGCATGAATTTTCCAATTTATATTTCTGACAGATTCTCTACCAGTTTTATTACTTTACTCCCATGAGTTACCTGCCAGTTCTCACTTGAGTTCATGACCTTGCTACAGCTTGGCTTCATCATCTGAGGGTTTTGTCAAGTGGAAAATATCAGGAACATACAAGCTTCTAATCCATCACCATTAGATTAGCTCCACCAGAGGTTCCAGAATTACCAGTCTGCCTCTTTCTGTTGCCTAGGTCTGTGGGTTTCTGAGGAACCATGGTCTCCAGTTCCATAGGCTTTGCGGCTTAGGTCTTTTATTTCCTTTTGACCATAGTAAAGGCACCCGTGAAATGATTTCTTCTGACCTTAACCTCTCTCTCATTCTCTTGCTTTCTTCTCATTTCATGTCCTCTTCTTCATAAACCAAACCATAATTTCACAAAAGACCTAACATAACAGTGTGTAAAAACAGCCTCTCTCCTATCCACCAACGCTGAACACTTAATGTATTTCTATTAGTTTGTTGTTTGGTGGTTTCCCCTTCATCATTACAAGATGATTACATATGGAACGCCTTTTAAAAATATGATGCCAAGGTAAGGAACAAAAAGGCAACGAGGAGAAATGAACAATGCAAACAAATCCATTTTGATTTCCTCTTTACCACTAAGCATAAGACTTGGTTTCCTCTGAAAGATTTATGAGGTTTCCTACCATAAAGGAGGCTGGATTACAGCTATGCTTACTTTATAAAATGAAATTCTGCCATCATAGGCAAGGGTTCATGGCTGTAATTATTTCAGTGCTCTTCCCAGTCAATGTGTCTTGCACAGCTGAGCCAAACCCTCTCTCTCACAGGCAGGCAGGCCATTTCATAAGAAGTCTGAAAGCTCCCACAACTTTGTGTGACCTTGCATTGAATAACACTGGAAAATTGATTTGGCTCTAGTAATAAAAGACCGTCTGCATTATCTGCATTCTAATTATAATTAATATAAGCAGGATAACTGCTGTATTATTTACGATTAGAGCTATGGTGAGCACAGTGTAATAATAATCTGCTACATAATTTTTTATTGATCTGATGGCTTTATTGCAGAAAAAACAAAATGCTACACCACTGCATAACTAAAATTGCCTTTCTTGACATGAGTGTTTAGACAGAGGATTCCATTTAACATTTCTTTTATCTGATCAAATTCTCATAGTTTTAATATCATAACAAGTGTGATGCTATGGGATCTTTCAATTTTCCTTTTTAGAAAGAACTGAAGAACAGACATAATTCATCCAGCCAGGTTTCCCATTCTTTATTCACTGAGTATCATTAATTCCCTGACACAACAGTTGTCATACATTTCATTAACAGGAATAGACAAAGGCTCAGAAAGAAGTGGCTTTGAGTTAAGGGAATGCTATCTCTCAACCTAAACAAACTCTCCTTTGAGCATAATAACTAGAGCAGTATAAAGGTAGCCATGAGTGTATTTTTCTTGAACAGAAAAAAAAAAAGTTAAGCTTAAAAACATTAGTGGAGGAACTCTTGGGGAGGGCAGAGATCTTTATGAACCTAGCTGGCAGTGTTCACCATTCTCTACTGTGTCTTGGTGATAAAAAGCTTGCTTTGGTTATATTATAATTTGAAAAATATCATATACAAAAGAGTGAATACACATTTGTAGGAAAGTAAATGTAAGAATATATATGGTGAGGATTTCTAATTAGCAAAGGAATTAAAACTTAGCAATTATTTTTTTCTCATGTCCAACTTTAATAAATAAAAGTTGAGTATATTAAATGATGAAATTATAAAAACAGTTTTGTTTATAATTGGTCAGATTTGCAAAATTTTACAAAATTAGAATTATATAATATATATATATTATAGTTGGTTTAACCTAATTATGATGGCATTTGAGAATCAAACCTTAAAATACTTAGCTACTTTCATAATATTATCAAAGGGATTTTAATCCTACTGAACTATTTTGAAATGTATATTCAAATCACATTTCACAGATTTACTATATGTTTCCTGAATATTATCTCAGTTGACAGTAACATTAACAAACCATATAAGGTAGGAAAGACAAGTGTTATTTTTTGAAAGATGTAAAAACTGAGGATTGAACAGCTGGAAAGTGAAGTGACGAATTCACATCTAAGCATTTTATGCCCTGACCTATGATCCTGAACTTTTAATAATATCATGCTCTTTAGTTATTTGTTTGATTTGAATTAGGTAACTGGCGCACTATGTCTCAACAAACTTGTTCTTTAGATACTTGCAGAAATATAAAAATTATGAAATAAACTCTCAAAGAGGAGTCAGGCTTAAGAGACCCCTTCTAAATGAGCAAAATAAACATCATCGTCATCAACATCATCATCATCATCATCACGGCACCTGACATCTATGGAACCAGAACATAATGAATATTCTCTCATTATAACCCAACATATGAATAAAGTAATGCTTGGGGCAAAAGCTAGACAAGTTGCCAATGTCACACAGTAAGCTAGTGATAGATTAAGGTCCTCAACACTGAGGTGCATTAAAATCAGAGTTTGTGCTGTTGTTTCATATCCGTCATGTATCAGCTTTCCAAATATATATCCTGTGGAGACTGGCTTACAATTATTTTAGTAAATAAATAAGCCCAAAATGTAATTGTATTTCCTTTTTGTGGCTAAAAAGGTAGTCGCAGAAGTATACAATATGTTTTCCCAGAAAGAGTCATGCTCAGAGTTCTCACAGACATGCATATTATTTGAACATTTCAGAATTTTATGTGATAGGCATGCCAACATGAATGATTTAAAACTTATTACAGTGAGTGGCTGCTGACTATCATTTTGAAGATTATAACTCTGTAGACTTCATTTTCAATTTAATTATTTGTTTAGTAGGAAATTTATCTTTCTTGGGTGCCATTATAAAATGTGGGGCTTTTTTGACAAAAAAAAAAAAAAAAAAAAAGAGAGACTTGATTGTTAATATATTAATTTTAGACAAGGTATATAAGTAAGCATGATTGGTTAAAAAATGTGTGCTATTTGAAAAAAGCAGTAGAAATATGAAAAATATATATATTTAAGTTCTTTCCTGGCACAAATTTTCATCTTCTGATCTCTTGTTCACTTCTCTCCCTCAGTTGTTCTATGAAATAGTAGCTAGAACGAAATAAATCTAGGACTAACAGTCAAGGTTTCATTCCAATTAAAGAGTTTCAGCAATTTCCTCCTGTGTTAATTTCATTATCTGGATGACAGCAATCAGAATTAGAATAACTGTCTTTGCTGCAATAGAGCAGATTAACTCCACAACAGGCTTTCCTGATGTAGTTTAGCCAGACCAGTTTGGTAACAGGAAAACTGATGTCCATGATTCACTGCGCTAATCTGCTTCCTCTCAAAGGACGTGGCTTAGGTCTAGCAAATATAGTCACAAATAATTCCATAGTATGTGTCCCTAATTTTTATACGTTATTCAAAGTGTGATTTTAAAAGTTTAGTAATCTGCTATTAGCAATATTAGTAAAATTTTTCTAAAAATTCTAGCCATTGTAATAAGGCAGGAAACAACAACAATAATTATAAAGTCAAGAGAAAGAGAACAAATGATATATTGTAGAATAATTATCAGTTTAAATCGGTGTGTTTATAGCTAAAAGATTATATACCAAAAAGGATACAAAATAAAAAATAATTTTTTATTTAGTAATAAAATGGAAGACAACTTGAAGAGCTCGACATTTTAACCTACTTAAATATTGAAGCCTCAAAAAATTGGTAATATTAAAATCTCACAAGAGACAGAGAATCAAATAAATTACTCGTGGTTGTTACGAACAAATTCTGATATACTACAATATTGCATGGGAAAATATATGTATCAAAAATTTTAAAAAATATTTATCTTTGAGCCACTATTTCCATTTTCTAGTTCCCTGTTTTCAAGAGATGACTACATATGTGAAATGAAAATCTGGCATAAAAGCAGTCAGCATAGCATTATTTCTATTAGAGTAATGCTAAACTGACAATATATCCAATATTAAAGTACGGCCAAGCAAATTTTGGCCTTTCCATACATTAGTATATTAACCAGAAATAAAAAATGTCCTTTACAAAAGTAGCTAGTTGCAGTTAATCTAATCTAATACCAACACTCAGTTTATCAACTGAAGTTCTATAATAAATACAATCTCTAGTTAGTATATTTGAAATACTATAATACAAAGAGTTTTAAAGGTAGTCTCGCCGGGCGCGGTGGCTCACACCTGTAATCCCAGCACTTTGGGAGGCTGAGGCAGGTGGATCACGAGGTCAAGAGATCGAAATCATCCTTGGTCAACATGGTGAAACCCCGTCTCTACTAAAAATACAAAAAATTAGCTGGGCATGGTGGCGTGTGCCTGTAATCCCAGCTACTCAGGAGGCTGAGGCAGGAGAATTGCCTGAAGCCAGGAGGCGGAGGTTGCTGTGAGCCAAGATTGCGCCATCGCCCTCCAGCCTGGGTAACAAGAGCGAAACTCCGTCTCAAAAAAAAAAAAAAAAAAAAAAAAAAAAAAGGTAGTCTCTATGGGTCCAGTTTTTCTTAATTCTAAAAATGGTAAGTCATTTGGAGAAAGCAAGCAATATGTATTTT